GCTAGCTCTGCGCGTTCAAGCAGTGAGGTCAGAAACATGAAACAGAGCCCAGCAAGCGCCAGAGTAGTTCTCCGTCATTTACAGGCAGCATTAACTGACTAGAAAGAAGTGTTCCTATAAACTCGAAGCATTTAAATTTGTTCTCTTGCAAATTTTAATGGCTCTTTTATAGATTTAAGGTAGTGGTGCAAAGACGGCTTAAAAAAAAAACAAAAAAAAACTTCTAATTCCTGAATCCTGTCAAGTGGCTGCAGGAGACCAGCTTCCTGAGGATTTGCGTGATAATCTCAGCAGTAATTAGCCTGTCACTCCGAGACCTGCTGACAGCGCTTCGGCAGGCTTCTTGCAGCCTCGGGGGTAAATACGGCACCCCTAATATTCCCTTAACAGTCCCATTCATCTTCTTAATGACTTAAGGCCGACCGGGGGAGTGCTCACGCTGCCAAAGCTGAGCCATGAACTGAGTTCTAAAGGAAGCGCTCAAGATCTGGATCAATCTCCACCAGAATTTATGGAAAGTTAGCGGAGAAATTTCTGCACAATTACATGTTTAGATCCCTCGGTTACTCAGTCACCCGCTTGTGCCTTGTGCTCTATTGTGCAGAAAATACCTAATTGGAGTTTGCGTAAAATGTTTAACATTGAAAATCCCTACTTAACCAGATTTAAAGGTTACATTTTGAAGCATAGACACTTCACTCAGGTGTCAAAGAGCTTCCTTTAGCCACTGACTCACATGGATGGATGAATGGTGGATGGACCAGGCAACAGATTGACAACAAGGCGGGATAAATAGATGCGACGGGGATGGATGAGATACAAATGGATGGAAAGACAAATCAGTGGATGATTAGATGGATGACATAATGAGCTATAGGTGGATGAATCTATGAAGCAGGTGTTTGCAACCTGTAGCTCCAGAGCCTAACTAATGCTTTTAAGTGTAGATACAATAACATTAACATTGAGGCAGTTTGCTAATCTAAGCATTTTTTTTTTACATCATTTTCCACAAATGACCTCCAATGGAAGGAATTGTGTCCGTCGTGTTTTGGCAGACATTTCTTTTTCTTTTATTTTAAGAGCTTAAATTAGAAATAAAATGGTGGTTGTTTAAAACCAAAGGTCACATAGCAATTGTGGCTCTAAATGAGGCTTAATTTGCAGAGTAAAAAAGGGGCTAAAATGTTTACAGACCCCAGGGACGGGTAGATGGAGTCTCTGTATCCTGGCGGGGCATGTGTGTGGTGTGTTCACTAACTGGTAAAAGATGGCAGTTTTACTTTCCGACAAGCAAGTCACCTATTAGCCTGTTTCTCTAGCTGAACCAAATTGGAAAAAGGTTTCTCTGATTAAGTTTATTTTCGTTCTCTCAGCAGTTTCATTCCATTCATGTGACCCGTCTTAAAACCAACCTAGCATTCGATGCAAACTTTCACTTTGAACGCAGCACCCGTAAAGTCTGGAAAACCAGATTTCTTTCCGTCTTAAAGCTTTCTGCCGCGACCGCATGAACTCAGCTGCTCTAACCGGTCGAGATCACAGCCTCCCGCGATCTCAAAGGACTTGGATCCAGGCTGGCATATAAATGACCACGAATAGATGCCAGTGTTGGGGTGCCGCTCGCAAGCTGTGCGTACGTCTGCAAAGTTCATGCTGAAATAGAAGTTAACACATGGTGTGTGAAAAGAGCCAATGCGGGTTGTTTTTAGTTTATTGAACAGGGAGGCGGGGAACGCAACGCTGAAACAAAAACTCTTGCTCAAGGTTACACGAAGGCTGGCCAAAAGTTCTCGCCCTCATGCAACCAGCAAGGCTTCATCATCGGATCCTCAGTCGACCTGCAGGTGTGTTTAGTTTTCACACGCTTCCGGCATCGGCCTTTGGCTCCATGTCCGGCTGAGGGCCGCTCTGTTTTCTGAGGGCTCGTTGTGAGTTATAGAGGCGGTGCCGGGCTGCATGCACGCTCACATGCTCATAGTTTCTCAACGGACTTCTGCTGGTTGGTGACCAAATAGAAACACACACACCCACCCACACACACAACAACAACAACAATAAAAAAGAAATAAGAAGAGTTCCAGAAACTCTTCTGTTTTGGGTGGGGGGCAACTATAATTGATGCTGCTCCATGTTGGAGCAAAACCAGTGTTATGTAACCATGAGCAAAGGGCTGTGATGTTTGGCAGAGGAGCATCAGTTTCTGCAAGGGTCTTGAAGTTAAAGTTCTTGGGGGGATTTAATATTTGCATGAAGAACTGACTCAGAATGAACTACACAGCTTGGCAAAATTCAGAACGAAATTGGCTAAAAATCTAAATTTTTTTGTAAATCTTTTCTAGAGTGACCATTCCTCCCACTTGTTCTCACAATATCTGTACAATCTCCTACAATCCCGTATGTCTTTGGACCCACTGGAAGGTCCTCAAAGTACCTCTTCCTGTTGTAAATCGCATGTCGAGGAAGCATAACGGAGTGAAAAGCAGCGCATGAAAACACCCATCTAGTGCGTGGGGGAGTGCCTTCACACACACACACACAGCCGCCAATCCCCAGCCTCTCTGGTTTTCAACAAAACATCTATTCTCTGTCTGTTTCGAGTTCCTATAGTGTGATCTTCCATTTTTGCGGGGGCAAACTGAAAGAAGACGCAGCGGGGACGCTTCAGGCCTGTCACTTTTATTGTTGCAAGTTTTTTGTGCCTGTGTGTTGGGATTTTGGAAAAATATTCGTCATGACAGAAGCTCGTCTAACAGGGCGACCACAGTGTACGCGGAGTCCCTTGCCTCCATATGGTACTCATTGCAAAATTTGCAGCAGGAAAGCAGAAGCTCGCACATCCAGACAGAAGCCTGGATTTGTTATGCTGTGGTAAAACTACTTTCTGATTTGGATAAATTATTTCTCCATTGCTAAAGTATATCCTCTTTCAATTAGAGGGGTTCTAGCGTCATAACTTGATAAAATTAGACGGTGTTTCTGGATTAAACGTATCCTGTGAACACAGCGGATTCAACATTCTCCTTTCTTACACAAAAGTTAAGCCCAAAGGCAATATGTAGAAGTGAAAGTGGCAGTCAGGTGCCGCCAATCAAAACACTGAAACGGGTCACCATCAGGTGGGAGCAAATTGGTAAAGCAGGAGTTTCAAAAGGCTTTCAACTCAAATATTTTATTTATCGCAAAATTAATTTAAATGTTTCCATAACATAAATCTGAGCAGATTCAAAGAGTCATTGTGGATGGTGATGCAGTGGGCAGGAAGGATCTCTGTTAGCAGTCAGTGTCGCTGCAATTCTGATGAGGCCTCTGACTGAAGACACTGTTGTTGCGTGACAATGTCCAGCCTTGGGAGGCAGGCGCTGCACGTGAGACTCTACAGGCCTCAGTTAGCACTTTAAACCTCATCACAGAACAATTTGAAAGACAATAATTGTGGCTTGTAATTTATGAAAGAGGTGATGATTTGGGCTTGTTTCCCGGCAACAGGACCCGGGCGATTTGAAGGCACAAATTGGACCATAAGCTCCCATCATGGTCCAATGATCTAAGGCCAGCTGACAACTGAAGCCTTGTCCAAAGTAGGTTAGAAAAATGAATGAAAATGTAAAAACAAAAAAAAGTATCATCAAGACGTAGAACAAATTGGACCCAAACACACAAGCAGCACCAACATGGAAACATTAGTTATTATCGGCTTTATCAACTTGTTGAACCAACACTGACATGTTGAAAAAAAAACCCATTAAAGTCATCCAGTACCAATGTTGATTCGTCTTCAAACCACAATGAGTTGATGTGCAGTACAACGGACCCAAAATGTAACTACAGCAAGCTAACAACTTTCCTCACACCATGATGGTGTATGAATCTTTACTCGGTCAGCTGTCAGGAAAACACTTTTTCTGTCAATACCAGATGTGGTAGACTTATGAGGCAGGTGCTCCAAATGTTTCTAGCGGTTTTTCTGGTGTGGTTTTGACATTGATTTATCCTACTTGGTAGAAGAATATCATGTTCAGACACGTGTTGAGTCTGGGAACATAATGAACCTGGAAATGTGGGACACTGAAGGATAGCGGTCATGTTTAAAGATATTTAGTGAGGGAGTTACCTAGTCCACCCAAAACATGAGTCACATGGTTTTTTTTTTGGTTTTTTTTTAATGCTAAAATACTTTCTGGGAGATATTTTGTCTTTTGTGGGTGGAAGTAATTGAGCCTAAACATAAACCCTGTTCTTCACGAGTGCCATGGTATGACAGAGGGAAGGTGCCTTTTGAGGATAAACATCACATGCTGAGCGTCAATGATCTGAACAAAACAGTGACTTTAAACCCAAAATATGCACGCAAATAATAAAAAAAAGTAGCTAACCAAGTCCTGAGCCTTTGTTAAATAAACATTTTGAACAAAGCAAGTTGAAGACATAGAGCAGACTTTCTGCATTACTACATCTCCGTGGAAAGCTGATCCTTCAGCTGCGAACAGTTTCACAGAGAAGCTTTTATTTTAGCGCATCATCAGTTTGCTTTAGTTTCAAAGGAGGTTTACGTAAGAAGCATTTTCCATGATGGTTTGCCGAAGATTTTTCCATAATTGCGGCTTTTCTCTCGCAGTCATCGTTTTAGTGCAGCGCTTCAATTGTTGACTGTTTGGCTTTTCCATACAGGGTTGTGGGTGTGAGGCTCTTGAGATGCCAGTGTGCTTGACAAATGGGACCTCAGATATGAGGCCTGCAGGTACTCTGAGGCGGTCTCACAAGCTCATACATGCCGACTTTGTGCTCAAGATCTGATTCCAAATCTATTTCAAAGCCCCAGCATAAGCATGACACTCATAATAAAACCCCCTTGCCTTCTACCAACAGATAAATAGTGGTGGCTACATCTGGTAAATTATAATATGTGCATGAAAGTCAAACTCACTCCTTGATTTTCTTCATTGGTGTGTTTTATTTTTCTTTCCCATAACCTTCAAATGTCTTTTCTGTCTTTGAAGGTAAAAATCCTAATGACAGTGCGAGTTCAGGGGATTATGGAGCGCCAAATCCAGGACCTGCGTTCAAAGAAGTTTGGCAGGTGAAGGTGTGGCCTAAAGGACTGGGTCAGGCCAAGAACCTGGTGGGCATCTATCGCCTTTGCCTTACCGAAAAGACTGTAAACTTTGTGAAGCTGAACTCCGACGCGGCCGCTGTGGTGCTCCAGCTGATGAACGTCAGGCGTTGCGGACATTCAGAAAACTTCTTCTTTGTCGAGGTGGGACGCTCTGCTGTGACGGGCCCCGGCGAGTTTTGGATGCAGGTGAGCGTGTAACTTGGAGTTGTGTCTGTGTTGGGTTTTGACATTCTCCAGCTGCACAACTGTAAAGAACAACACTAGAAACTGCTTTGAAACTCAAGCACAATGCATTTTTTCGGTTTTAATCTGTTGACTTTTATGTGTTGTGTTGTAGGTCGATGATTCTGTGGTGGCCCAGAACATGCATGAAACCTTGCTGGAGGCCATGAAAGCCCTGAGTGAGGAGTTTCGTCAGCGCACAAAGTCTCAGTCAAACTCTGGTCCTGGAGGAGGTGCCACAGCTTCCAATCCTATCAGTGTTCCTTCCCGCCGCCACCATCCCAATCCCCCTCCAAGTCAGGTGGGCTTCCTCCGCCGTCCCCGAACCGAGCCTACCTTAGGTGCTAATGCGGGAGCTCCATTAGGCAGTTCCAGTGCCTCTCCCACACCTCGGCACAGCTTCCCGAGGTCCCGCACCGCCAGTGATGGAGGGAAAAGTGAAGATGGGATAGCAGGATCCACTCCGCTACATGGTGTAAACACAAGTCCTTCTAGCAATGGCTCCTGCTCTACCACCCCAATCCTCAGGTCAAAGTCAGCCCGCTCGGTCCCAACCACAGCTGCTAAAACTCCTTTTGGGTTGATGCGTTCCATTTCAACCCCAGCCCCATGCCTATCACCAGCCCCAAGTCTCTCGTCCAGCTCTGGGCATGGATCTGAGTTTGGAGGTATCACATCTGCTGGTCCTGTTCCAGGGTCTGGTGCTTATACTCGTGTAGCCTCTCATCATACCTCAGTCTCATGCTCACCCAGTGATTATGGCTCCTCAGATGAGTATGGTTCCAGTCCTGGAGATCACACGGTTCTACCCTCTCCAATCCTGGCAGGAAGTTCTGTCAGCAGCACTGGTAGCCAGTGCCTTGGCGAGGATGGAGCAAACTACATCCTAATGGGTCAACGAGGTGGGACCAGCAGTAGTGTCAGCAACAGTAATCAAGGCAACATGATGTCCAGCTCTCAGCCTGTGCCAGGAACACCAACTAATTGCTCACTGCCCCAGACTAGGAGAGTACTGCGTCGATCTTCTAGCCGTGAATGTGAGGCTGAACGCAGGCTTCTGAGCAAGCGTGCCTCCTTGCCTCCTATGGCCCTGGAAAGACTGGCCCCACACCAGCGCAGAGCTGAAGAACCTACAGATGAAGATTCAGCTGATTATGCCATTATGTCAAGGAGCACCAGTCGGGAGTCCTTTGCATCTACCTGCTCATCTATTCAAAGGGAATCAACCTTAGGCTCTTGTGTAGGAGGGTACTTGGATGTAGCAGGAGAGTTAAAAAGTGATGGTGGTCCAGGGGCAGTTGCAGGAGTGGACAATGGGTACATGTCCATGCTACCAGGAGTCACCCAGCCTCCTGTCTCCTCATGTCAGACAATGACTGTGTGTGTTCCAGAATTAGATTCCAAACCTGCTGACGACTACATGGCAATGACCCCCAACAATAGCGTGTCTCCCCCGCAGCAGATTCGTCACCTGCCAGTGTCTGACGGCTATATGATGATGTCACCCAACAGCAGTTGCTCCCCTGACCAGCGTGGAAGCCTCTCTGAAGGTGCTTGGGTTGGCAGTGCCGATAGCAGAGCTGGTAGCGACTACATGAACATGTCTCCTATTAGTGCACCTTCTGTAAATGGCAGTCCCCCTCAAAATGAGCACACCTGCCATTTAGATACCAGTTTGCAACAGCCGCTCCCAAAAATGGTGTATTCCTACTATTCCCTTCCCAGATCGTACAAACATAATCCCACTTCTGGGCTTTTTGATGATGGGCCCGGACGAGGCAGACGCCCCAATGGGAACTGTAGCAGAGGAGGAGGTGGCAGCAGAAACTCAGGGGGGCATCTAGAGCAGCCAACTGGCGGTTCAGGGACTGGACGGCACCAATCACTCTCTTCGTCCTCATACTCCTCCAGCTCAGCTAGCAGTGAGAGTCTTGGAGAGAACGATGACAGGACTAACCAGGTTCTGGTTAATGTGACAACTGGATCTCAGCCCAAAGAGGTGAGCAAGATTGCTCAGAGGCGGGGCTCCGGTGGGTTAACAAAGCAAAGTAGCCACTTTAGAAGCAGACCAGTAAGCCTATTTGTAGATGTATCTAAGGCCAACACTCTTCCTAGGGTTCGTGAGAACCCCTTACCCCCAGAACCTAAGAGCCCTGGAGAGTATGTAAGCATTGAGTTTAAAGGGGAGCAGTGCAGCCGGACTGGTGTAGGAGTTGGGCGAGGTAGAGGACTGAGACATGGATCATTGCTGAATCACGGCTCAAGTCACCAGCATTCTCAAAACAGACCAACTCCATCTCTAGAAACCTTTATCCCCCTGTCTCACAGTCCTTCTGCCCCTGTCTCTCCACCAACTCCATCAGAGTATGTCAACATGGACCCTGGCCCTTCACCATCCCCTTCACCCCATTCCAATACCCAGTTAGTTTTCCCACCTTTCCACACCCCTCCAACACCCCCGGTTCTTGCTCATGCTCCTAAAATCTGTACAGAAGGTACTGATAGTCTGTGTCAAGGAACTGTTGAAGTTGCTGAGCCACCGCTTCGGAAAAGCAGAGACAGTGTTCCCTCAGTGACTGAAATAGAGTCTCCTACATCCTGTGGAGACTACACAGAGATGGCTTTCAGCTTGAGCAACAATACTGCCCCTCGGTCATCACCAAGTGTCTCCCCCAAAGTCCCCTCTCCTACAAGAACTGATCCTTCTGTTTCAGTGCTCTCTCGGGGTCTAGACTTCCCTCTGGGCAAATCAGGACTGAACCCAGACCAGGGTGCTAAAGTAATCCGTGCTGATCCCCAGGGACGCAGGAGGCACTGCTCGGAAACCTTTGTGGCCACACCCTCCCTGTCCACCTCTGGTTCTACTTCTTCTTCTACTGCCTCCCTCTTTCCAGAGCATGCCCAGGCTGTTTCCCGCCGCCTCGGCTTTGAGAGCATGTTGTGGGGGAATGGTGCCGTCACTGATCCTCCAACTCAATTTCCACTCCCTGCACAGCAGTCACTTCCCACAAACAATCAGACATTGTCCACAGAGCAGGGTCTCAACTACATAGACTTGGACTTGGTCAACAAAGAGAGTCCCCACGCTGGCCTGGAAGGTGCCACAGGAGGCCAGCCCCAATCTCGGCTGTTCTCTGTTCTTGGTTCGGGCTCAGTGGTTGGGGGAGTGGGGGCTTCAGCTGGAGGGAGCAGCAGTTCAAGCCTCAACACATACGCCAGCATCGACTTCTACAAATCCGAGGAGCTACGGACACATCAGAACGGGAACAAAGAGGGAACAGGTAGGAATTTGAATCCTGTTTGCCGTTTGTAAGATTGGAAGTGAAAAGAATGTATTCTGAAGATAATCCAGTGTCTTTGATCAATGCTTGCAATTAAATCACAACTGGGCTCAAATTAAATTACAGTCGTCTTACTCATAAGACTGTCAATATACCTGCATATGAAACCTAGTTTGGCTCCTCCAGCATCGATTCCCTTTGAGGGCCTTAAACTTCTGTTTGTACAGGATTTGATTAGGGTAGGCCAGATAGTCCAGCCATAAAAAATGAAAAGAAATCTATGTTCTGGAGATCTTTCTCAATTTTGTTTCTCCAGTGTTGTGTAATAATGAATTATGACATCTTTTTAAGTTTTACTGTTGGTATTCATCTTTAATCATCATTTGCTGCTTATATATGAAAAGAATTATTCTGCTCCGATTGACCCTTTGTGCTTTTCGTTAAAGAGAAGAAACAGTCAAACAAATCTACCGTATGTGCAAGTTGTAGCAAAGGGAACCGTTCAATCCTATAGAACAGATGCATTATTGTCCCAATAATAGGAAAGTCCAGCCCAATTAGTGAACACATAGCATTAAAATAAATCTATACAAACAGAAAGAACTTAGATACACAATCTCCAACAGACAAACTGCAGACAATGTAAAACAGAATCATTTGCTGCAGCACATGCTTTCCCTGCATACTACTTAATTATGCACCATAACATCCGTTCTCTGAAAAAAAACCAAATGACAAAACACTAAATACATAATTGATTAAAAAAATCTTCTCATCAGTCTTCCCATTGAAGCGTCGCACTTAGAAATTCAGTTAGGCTGACGCTAGTTTAAATTGACTCGTCTATCTAAAATCTCTCACTGTAAGGCCAGAGCCTGGGGAAGGGTTAATGTGGTGCTTTGAAAATCATTTTCATATTACAATGAAACATCAGAAAATATTCACTTTCATGAAAACCACAATTTGTAGCTCAAATTGTGGTTTTCCACAATTTGAGCTACAAATGGGGCCCAATAATAAGATACAAGCTTTTTTTTCAGAAAGATTTACAAATGTTTTATTGCCAAATCCTGTAAAAAGAAAAGAGTTTCAAAAGGTTTAACTTAGTGTTTTCTCAGGAATCAATCACAGCTTCAAGTCGTCTTGGGTTTTTCCTCTACTACCTTGGTACAGCTGTTTTTGGCTGTCATCTACAATTTCCCTCCACAAACCCCCTATTTCTCTGTCAGGTTGGATAGGTAGCATTAATGGACGGTGATGTTTAGGTTTTCCAGTGGTGTTTAATTGAATTTAAGTGTAGACTTTGACTGGGCCACTCAAAGACTTCCAGATACTCCTCCTCCTTTCTTATCTTGGCTGTTTTTTAAAGGTAAATTGGTCTAATGTCTAGTGTGCAGTGGAGGAGCAGGTCCTCTTCAAGACGATTTCTATATTTAGCTGATGTCAACCCACCGTCTACTAGTTTGTGGCAAACAACTTTCCCACAGCATGATGCTAACCTCACCATACTTCACATATTAACCATATTACCCCAGAGATGATAGGATTAGGTGGTTTGTTTGGGTTTTATTATAGCAGAGGATTTTGCTCGGTCTGGTCTGGTGCTTTTTCAGGCTGCCATGTGCGTTTTATCGAAGAGCAGCTTCCATCTGGCATTTCCACCGAAAAGATCTGGTAGGTAAAGTGCATTAGCAATGGTTGACCTTCTAGATATTTCTCCAATCTCCACAAGGGAACATCTGGTTCTCCATCTTAGTTATAGTTGTGATTTTTGCCACCTCTCTTCATTACCTACTCAGTTTGATTGCGAGTATGGAATCATGGATCTTTGTAGATCTAATATGCTTCCAACCTCAAGCTATGGAGAGCTCAGTGTTTTTCATGCTGCTTTGTGAACTTCCTCGGATTTATACTTTGACATAAGCTGGTTTCTCAGAACTTCACACCTTTACTTTGACTTCATTGTATTTGCTCTATGCACTGACTGTGTGGCCTTACATTGACAAAGATGAAATTGGCAGAGGTGGATTTCAATTAGGCTACACAAGTATTTCAAGGATGATCAAGGAAGTGTGACCTTCTCAATTTTGTGCGTCACTGCAGTGAGTTTGGATGTTATTTTGTTGAAATCTTTAAATTGATTATAAATTTGAGCTTTTCTGAAAAGTGAAATAGTCAAATTTGTATTGAAATAAGTCTGTCGCAAAGAAATGTGGAAAAAGTAAAGACTTTCTGACATCTTTTTTTTTGACAAGAAATTGGGGGGGAACAAAAAAAAACCCAGTGAGAAAAATCATAGGAAGTGGTTGAAAAGAGTATGGTTCCTGCAGCAATCAATGACATTTATGTTTTCATTTCCTGCATCTACATCTACATCATTTTATTTTTCCATGTTTACATCCGTTCTTACTCTAAGGCACAGCTTTCCAACCTTTGAAGGACCACCCCAGCTAAACAATGACTAAACTAAGTCTCCACGAGACATTTTGTCATCGGAGAAACATTCTCTTTGAACCGCTGTCTGCACCAAATGATGGGTACTTTCTAAGAAATAAATGCTTGCAGCTACAGCAGATAGCAGAGACTGTAAGTGGATATTTGGATTTATATGAGTCAGTGAAACTCTTGGTAATCTTCCACACTGGGACTTCTGTCTTGTTGTTGAAGTAGCTCTGCTTGCCTTCTCATGATTTGCACTGTAAGCTGCATCAGAATTAAGCCGCTCGGGAGTTTCGTGGTAAACATTTCATAGCTCGGCTCCACAGATGGATTTAATGAGGAATTTAAGGCATTAGCAAGATATTCATACAGGGGTTGTTGCGGTTTGTGTGTGTGCAGGGAAGCCGAACTTGACGGTTGGTTTTTTATAGATTTCTCGGATGGAAATGAGCAATCAGTAGCCTGCTTCCGTGCAACAGCGTGTTGGATTTATTGCCAAATGATGGCTACGTTGGTGAAAGCATGGGGTGTTTTGAAATAAAAATGGTTGCTGGGTCCCACGGTGGGGCCGTTTGGCGGCTGGGAATGTCACGGGGCAGCATGGAGGGGGAGGTGTTACACGTTGGCTGTGAATGTTGAGATGGGGCCAGCGTTTCAGTCATGCTGCTCTCGAATACCTCTGTACAGTGTTCCCCTTGCTTTCATCCTCTGCATCCAGCATCCCCCTAACTCCCGCTGCCAATAAATGATCCTTTTGTTTGCATGTGTTTGCTCCAGCGCGCTGGCAGTCCTCAAAAGCAACAAGTCCCAAGACCAGTGGCCTCTCCTGAGACACTTCTCCTCTGCAGTCTATAATTTTCCCCCTTTCAGATGTTGTTTTCCTCTCTCCGCGTCCATCTTAATTTTTTTGTTTTTGGATCTTTGCTGCTTCCCTTTGTTCGTCCATCACACGGTTTGTCCTTGGCTGACATCTGGGCTGATGGATTTTTGGAATTCCTCCCCTCCCCTGTTTTTGACGCTCGCTCTATTCAACGCTTCATCCTTATTTTTTTATTTTTTTTTACCGTTATACAGCTCGGCTTCCTCTGCTTCCGCACAGCATTTCTCACCATCCCATTACTGCAGTTTAACAACGTTGTCAAACTGAGCTCTCATCCTTTAGCAATCAGCAGCGTCGAGACACAGTTTTCACTCCCAAAAAATGTACAGTATGGGTGTGTTTTTACGATTGCTTGTAATTACAGGGGAATTTTTCTCCCTCCAGCAGTCATCAGCCAGTATAGGTAATGACTGTGTGTATGTCTCAGGGGCGAACACCAAAGGGGCCAAAGGCTAAAATTAAACATGGCTTGTGTGCCAGAAATGGTCCTATTAGATTCTGGTTATGTAATGTGTAAAAGGAACCTCATGGTTAAGATAATGAAGTGAACTGTTTCACTCTAAATGATGCCTGCTGCAGAAACATATTTAACTTTTTGTGGCAAACGTTTTAAGCCAGGAATATTTATTCCCAGCCACAGGAAATACTGAGCCGCTTTACTATGGGGAAACCCCTCCAAAAAGCGTTAATCACTCATTTTATTTTCAGGTAATTTTTTAAATTGTAGAGAGATGTCCCGATCAAGATGTGAGTCACAATCGTTTTGTGAAAATAAATGCAATTTATGTTGAGAAAACTCTAGTCACTTTCTGTTTTGATACGTTTCACTGAGAGTTTGTCCACGACGTTTTAATGCAGTTAATATTTGATCAAAACCTATAGGAAGAGTTCTCATGCTTCATTAATTTAGGTCACTAATATTTAGGGACTGCTGTTTCAGCTGCTTTCCCAGGCAGCAGGCAGAGTATGCAGAAAAAACTTGCGAGGAAGCTGCAGAAACCAACGGAGAGTAAAATAAAGTTTCATTGAACCAGTATTGCAGCTTGCAAGTCATGCAGAGGGGTTGTTTTTATGAATTGGGTTTAACAAATTGTGGCCCTTGAGCAAAATCACAGATATTACATCAGCAGTTGGCATCAAGAGATTTGGTCAAGTACCCATCTGCTACCTTTTGTGATTTCTAATTTCTTATGGGTACATTTTTTGCTTCTTATCAAAAAACTGCTCATTTTCATAAAGTTTGACAAGTTTAGGGACGGGGAAAAACCTATTTCTTTATATCAAACCAAGCAGAACATTTTTATCTGCAGAGAAACCGTTCTGTGGACATTAACTACAGCATTACAGAGACACACACAGCTTTTTTTATTTTTATTTTTTAAATAACTGCACTTTATCGTTGTTAAAACTGACAATTAACATTAACAATTCAACATTCTTCTGTTTTTTGCTTTGCACACATGCATTTTTCTTTTTTCAGTGAGATGAACTTTACATCCTCTTTACAGGCTAAATAAATAATTCCTAGCTCTGTCTCTGTGTTGAATGAAATGTTCTGAAAAGAATGAAAGGCGTTAATTGTTCCTGTTCATTTCAGAACAAAACTCTTGACTATTTATTTATTTTTTTTAAATCTACAGCAGTGCTACAAGGCCAACTAGATGCCATACACCTCCTCAGT